AGAGTTTTTTGTAGCTAATTTTAGGTATTTGTTTTCATGTGGATGTGATCACTTACTTACCTTACCTAATAAGCAAATGGATATCGATTCTTATTGTCAAATATGTTATGTCTAACTGGACATAAATTTTGATCACATTTTTCAAGTTTGATATTTCGGGAGAACTTCGAGAAGTTTGTAAGCTTTGATGTGACATATACAAAAAATAACTAACTGAGATAGTGCTTATGAAATATTAACAGAAGTATGGTCTGGAAAATGGTTACTAGTTGTGGAAAAAGCTTTAGGTGTTCCTAAAATTCATTAATTTGCTTAATTATATCCTAAAATTCATTAATTTGCTTAATTATACTTCAAAAAATGAATTTATTCGTGTTGGCTAACATTGGGGAATTTCGAAGGCAAAATATATTTTCCGCCTAACTACAATATGAGTTCACAGAGCAGATGTAAGCTCCTAATACTATTATCAGCTGTATTTTTCCCTTCTAAGCTCTCTACTGTTCGTCTCCATCGCAGTCAGAAGTGCAGAGTATCTTACGCCCGTTTCTTATCTATTTAAGGAGTGAATTGGGTTGCATATGAAACACTAGATCCAAGAAGTATAGACGTCTGTTGGCAATTTTGGGCGAAGGGAAAATGCTCTAACGCTACGCTACTCTCTAATGTTCTTGTCAATATATGAGCACATAATGTGCTTTTAGAGCATGGCCAAGAGAGGAAATGAGCATTTATTAGCATTATTTCAATCAAATGAAAACTTGGTCATAATATAAAAATGATATATTTTCATTCAATGGTATTTGAAAGAGTGTGTGAAAACTCCAGAAATGTAGTTCAAATTGGGAAACATTGAAGGCTTATTCCGAACTAGAGGTGTCCTCCCTATCCACACCATCTTCTGGCAAGCTCTCTGGTTATCCTCTATGCGGAGTATCTTCTGTGAGCAACGTTAGCCTTTTTATTCGTAGGCAACTCATTGACTTACTTGTGTCCTTTAAAAGTTCTATTCGTTTGAATTAAGCAGACGACATCAATAAGAAAACCCAAAATTTGACTGTGAAATCTATAGTAACATAGTGTAAATGCACACCATGTACAAAAAGTGAAAAACGCGATACCGTCGTAAACCGCGGCGGGCGCATATCTCTGTTTTTAAAAGTATGGCGTGTAATACGGGATTGCACCATATGCATAAGTAACGTTATTTTGCTGCATAATATATGGACTTCGGAAAAGACAGCATGAAATGCTTTATCTGCACGATTTCTCTGTTTTTCTATCCAAATTTCAATTAAAACTTCAACTCAAAGTAAATGTCACAAAGAATTTTGTGGCATGTTCTGTATTTCCTTGCATTCAGACGCTCAGATTCTGTAATAAAGTGGCTTTGCAGCATCTTATCCGTATAACCGTAACATTGCGTTGATCGCACTCTTTACGAAATTCTGCGTACTATTGCCTCACATTATTCTGCTGCATCGTCATGCTGTTCATCGCTTCCCTGTTGTAGTGCTTTTGTTGCCTGAGTTGCATTTGCTTTTAGGGTAAAATAAAGGCTTACCATGGCCGGAGCAGGGAAAGAACGCAAGAAG